TCATCGCTGACCTATGGAATACAGGATTAACTAAGTGTTAAGAATGCGTTAAGTAAAGTTACATAATACATACAAGAGTACCGTGAGAGAGAGCAAGTGTGAACAACTATTAGAAATGTAGGCATAAAGATTAAAATATTTCTTGATTAGTGTGTGTGTGTGTGTGTGTGTGTGTGTGTGTACAGTTAAGCCCAACATACACTGGGTAACATGTTGAATGCAACATCAAGCAACATGTTGTATTCAACATGTTGCACAGTGTTGAACAAAAGGGGAAACATGTTGCTTGCTATTTTTATAATAATAATTATTATGAATAAAAGGCTGAAGTTATTATTGCATTCCTTATGTGTTGCCTAGTTACCTTTGATGTTTCAAGCAACATGTTGCTTGAAGTTGAAATTTTTCAACTTGAAGCAACATGTTGCTTGGATGTTGCATGCAACAAATTTGCTATCATACACGAGGCAACATGTTGAATAGAACATGTTGCTTCAATGTTGCATTCAACATGTTGCCCCGTGTATGTTGGGCTTTAGTATTCAAATTGGCACAGAAACTGTAATGCTATACTATCAATAGTAAATATAAATAAAAGATTGAAATTATACAAATGTAAACCAAAGAGAAAACACACTGTATCATGTAGCAGCAAACAGGAAGAAACAAGAATGTACTATAATGTAACCTTTGTAACGAGGACATTTTATAATGTCTCAATTGGTACAAACCTATACAAAAGTACCTCTGAAATGAAGACATCTGTCTGTATTAAGGACAGGTAGTGTGGGCCCAATGGTGTCCTTAATAAAGAGGCTACACTGTACATGTATTAAGGACAGGTAGTGTGGGCCCAATGGTGTCCTTAATAAAGAGGCTACACTGTACATGTATTAAGGACAGGTAGTGTGGGCCCAATGGTGTCCTTAATAAAGAGGCTACACTGTACATGTATTAAGGACAGGTAGTGTGGGCCCAATGGTGTCCTTAATAAAGAAGCTACACTGTACATGTATTAAGGACAGGTAGTGTGGGCCCAATGGTGTCCTTAATAAAACTGTGTACATGTTGACATTATTATGCTCAGGAAAATCTCATCGCCATAAAATAGTTTCTATATTGATGCTTCTGTCAAAAGTAAACATACAATGACTATTGTTAGCAGAAGAAAATAAACAGCCAGCAATTGTTCAAAAACACAACATAAATACCCATTAGTCACATCAACCTTGTTGACCACTAAGATCACATGATCACAAGGAGCCAATCAGACTATCATTGAGGAAATGATAGGGACAATTAGTAAAGAGTGGGGATCTCCCCTGGGCATTAAGGATGTGTAAAAATAAAAATAGTATTTACTTAATTAAAAGTCACCCACTACTTTTACTACTATGTAGCTATTACTATTAAGCTGCCCACACTTTATAGTAAATGTACATGAATGATGTACACGTATACCATAGGGGCCTTTTATCAAATAAACTATTAAAATTTCATAGTATTTATACTAGATGTACATAATGTACACGTGTAAGGTTATATAATAAGGCTATATACATGTATGTATAAATTGCTAATACTATATAGCGCAAATTTTCGAGGGATGTAAATTTTGCAAATTTACCTAAAATCTACTTTGCAAATTTAATTTTCGCAAATTTATGCCGTCTGTCATCTCGTACTGTGATAATTTGATTTTCGCGAAAGGATTTTCCAAACCTTCAAAAAATCGCAAAATCCACAAAATTAGCAGCCCTCAAAAATTCTACAAAATGCAGTATTTATAATTCCCTCTATCATATCTTCTCTCTCCCTCTCATTCACATGTATGTACATGTACATAGTTAGGTTTACATGTATATGTACCTTTTTTGCTCCTCTTTTATTTTTTATAAGTTCGTCGACGACTTCTATCATCGATTTCATTTGATCGGAAGACGACGACAGCTGAGCTTGCAACTTTTCTGATACTTGCAAGAAAACCTTCCAAGCCTACACGTACACAGTGAAAAGAAAAAAGTTCAAAAAGTAAAGTGGAGACTAGCAGATATACATGTAAATGTACAGTCATTTTAAAACTAAGAATAAATATTAGGAGACTGATCTAACTAAAAATGGGAGAATTGAGGGCACCATGGGCTAAATACATGTACATGTACGAGAGAAAAAGCTAAAAAATGATAGATTTTAGGAGATCTAGACCAAATATGAAAGACCAAAAACTCCTAAGCTCTTTCTATATGTAACAGCACATACAGCAGGAGTATTTGTTATAATTTCAGTACACTCACAGCCACTTTACAACAGGGTTTAGTTTTCCCATGCTGTATTCTCCTCCAGAAAACAATTTTTGTTTCCCAGTGAAGTTTATTCCCAAAAGTACACGACTGCCAACAACATGTGGTCACTGTTATTACTCTGAGACAGAGAGTGTGTGTGTGTGTACAAATGTACAGGTGTTACGGTAATTGTGTGTACGAGCATAAAAGCATTACTGAATGTGTCAAATTTACTATACATACACATCTACATGTATGTAGCTACTTTAAAATGTAAAAAAATAAATGTATTATAGATGTAATTAGGTATCTATCTGTTATATGTCAAGACTACTGACCAGTGTATCTGGAGGTGAGTATCAGTAAGAGTAGATAATAATTAGAGGAGAGTGTCCTACTGGCTCTTCATCACCGGGTAGAATTGAAGAGTCACATTCAGGATATTTCCGTATTTTCATTGAGTTTGAGTAGTTATTTTCACATAACTACTCAAAAATACTGAAAATATCCTGAATGTGACTCTTCAATTCTACGCTGTGATGAAGCAGGGGGTATAGGCACAGTAGGACACTCTCCTCTAATTATTATCTACTCTTGGTATCAGTAATGTAATACCTGAGTCCCTTGATATCTGCCCTCAGCTTCACCTCAAGCAGATATCTCAGTCCTACGTTACTTATACACACACCTCCAGACACACTGGTCACTGTATAACATCTCTCTCTCTCTACATTATTCTATTATCATCTATTCTATCAAGGTCTGTAATAACAGAGCATACACTTGAGTATGTGAGTGTTTATGTATCCACAATTGTGTGTGATTCTTGTGAAAATGTTGTAAAACTTAAGTCAACGAATTTAGAAAAACACTTTCATGGAGGAACTATTTTTCATGAACACGTACACGTACATGTACATGCTACGTTTGGTTTATTATTATTATTATCATTATTATTATTTATTGTTTAGTGTTTGCATTGTATCGATTTGGTGGAAACAGAAAGTGACCCATCAAGAAAATAATAACAATAAGCAAACGATAAGTATTGATATTAATCATACAATGTATTTTATCTTATTCTGTTATTTCTCTCTTAAGCATACTTGTACATGGACTACACAGCACATTGTTCTATTCATTTAATCATTTTTTGTCTGCAGTTCAATAGCCAGCTAGCAACAAGACACAATGAGAAAGGGAAAAGGAGAGAGAGGGAGGGAGAGAGACAGAGACATCTGCCAAAAAGAACATATACACAGTAGTTGTTTAGTTAGTATCAAAATAAGCAACCTGTCAGTTATTCAAGAGAATAACTCAAGCACACGTACACACATGTACATATAGGAGAACACAGATGTGTTACAAGAAAACAAATTATATCCACTTAAGGAGCACATCATCATAATCATTGAAGTACTATGCATTATATTCTATTATAACAGCCTCTGGATTTCCCTCCTGTTAAAATGCATAGCTAATACTCAAAAAGTTGTACGATACAAATATATAACATCACTCAATGTTTGTGATTTTAATGATTATAGTTTTGTCACAGTTCATTTATTACAGTAAGAGTGATGTCAAGAGATTACCCAATCTCTCTCCCTTTCACTGTCTCAACATAATATTATCCTTATCTTACAACAAAAATGCCCAAGACATATCATGTGTACATTATGTGTGTACCAATATTAGTCCAATATACTACAGAATATCCATTCTCGTTCATTCCAAAAGTATTGAATGATAGTAATATGCAAGTGACATTTCCATAACTACATTTAACTACAATGTGCATTAGAAAATATACATATCTTAACTGTTATTGTTATTTTTATAATCAATTGAAAGATTACAAGTAATTTTATCAAAATAATCCTATAGACATCTTGATCCATTTGTGCGTTAGTAAAAAAGCAAAATAATAGCTTAACTTGCAAAAACTACAAATACATGTACCATAGTTAGTATCAACTTTCTCAATTTTGCCAATAATTGTAAAATCAGGTATGAAACTCAAAACTTGCAGAACGCACGTATGCGTAGCTCAAAAAATTATAATGCAGAGGGTTGTTAATAAATTTTTAACTCTGTCGGCCCTGAGCTCTCGACTATTATCTTTCTAACAAGCAAAAAGACTGCGCCCTCTTCTTACCTGTACAACAGGTGAGGTTGTTGCCACTGGGAACTGAGCAGATCTCTCGCAGGACTGGTTGATCCGCTGGAGTGAGTCGGAATATTCCTTATCAACTTTCTGCCTCTTGAAAATGTGCATCCTTAGACTCTCCAGCGAGTGAAGCTCTTCCTCGTGTCGCTTGCTAATGGCGTCGTAGTTGAGCTGGAGACAGGAGCCAAAGTCGCTTCCATTTTGACAGAGGTCAGGGGCGGATATGGAGCTTGATGGGGAAGATGGTTGTTGCTGGGGGGAGAATGCTCCTTCGGACGGGTAAGGCTGCTGGGGGCCGGGAGGAGAGAACGTTCTTGGATCAGGCAATGGCGGGCGGTCTCTCCTAGGTAGAGGAGGTGGAGGAGCAGCCATTTCCTATCTACAATCAGCTCTTCGTCTCTCTCGTTCTCTTCTCCTTTGATCCTTGGAAATAGGAGAGATTATACGGAAAGCTCAATAACCGTATACTGCCTGATTGTCACGTGATTAAAAATCACACGCCCACCTAAATAGGGGCGGTGGCTTTATTATTTTTTTTGCATGCCTGCTCACGTGATCATCACGTGACACAGGACAAGATGGAGGACCCCATTGTGCCAATAGTTTTAATACTATTGGCGCTACTGGCAGGTGCAGTAGAAGGTACAGAATTTTCATTCGAGCTCCCTGATAGAAAAAGCCAGTGCTTTTTTGAGGAGATAGAAAAAGGGACTAAAAGTATTGTAGATTTTCAGGTAAGTGATAAAATTAATTTTAATTTGTTTTTATAGTATTGTATGATAAATAGTCATAAACTACAGGTTATTAAAATGGAATGTTATTACGTACATGTAACACCTTTTTCACTTACTTGTCTCTATTCTTTTTTTATCAATCTTTTCAGGTAATATCTGGCGGAAATTTTGACGTAGACATAAGAATCACAGGCCCCAATGACAAAGAATTGTACAGCGCCCAGCGACAAAAATACGACACAATAGAATTCACGGCGGAGCTGACCGGGGAGCACCAGATCTGCTTCAGCAATGAGTTCTCAAGTTTCTCTCACAAAGTGATATATTTTGAGCTAGTGGTTGGGAATGAGCCACCGCTGACGGAAGAAATGGGCACACATCAAGTGGCATTGACACAGCTAGAGACGTCAGTTGTGAAAATACATGAAGCACTACGTGTTGTACACGATTATCAGACCCACCACAGGCTAAGGGAGTCACAAGGACGCAGGATGGCAGAACATCTAAATAATCAAGTCCAGTATTGGTCTCTCGGGGAGGCTCTTCTTTTCGTCCTTGTTGCGTTCGTTCAGGTTTTTATTTTGAGACGGTTCTTTGCCGTAAAGAGAACCAACATTTAGGGATTTTATTAAATTATTAGACAGAGAGAAAGTGAGAGGGTGAGGGGGCAGGTTTTTCTTTGTTACTATCATATGCCTTTACATGTATCTTATAAAATAATAATACCATTCTTCCTGACTTTTAATTTGTGACGTATAGTCATGATTATGTACAGTATATCCTGATACTCTAATCACGCAAATAATAAATAAAACACCTGCTGTATAATTAATGCTTGGATACCATTTAACAAATTGATATTTTGCACACTGTACACAACCACATGTCCACAATTATAAATATTTTCATTTAAGATCTTTTCACAGTTAATGTTAGCTGTCCGGTTTGCTTGTTAAACTTAGCTTTAAGAGTATCCTCATGGACAGGGTTTGGAAATGGTAGAGATAAGTGATACATATGTTCAACTGAAAGCTCTAGATCAGACTATGGAGAGAAATGAGCATCATAAGGTTGAGCATTTAACAGCAAAATAATGTTATATGTTATTGGAAAATGGTCTTTTGAGTTTTGAGCAACTTTGAAAATCCAATTTTTATTAAAATCAGCTCAAAGTTTCTACACAACTTAAGTACATGTATATGTATCAGAAGAAATCATAAAAATGGAGAATTCTCTCCTATTCAATTTTGGCGAAATTTGGCCAACGACCCTGTACTATATAGTACAAGGAATTTGACCCAATTTTTGAGCAACTTTTAAAATTCTTTGAAAATGCAATTTAGATCAGAATCAGCTCAAAGTTTCTACATAACATAAGTACATGTATATATGCATAAAAACATTATAAAATGAAGAATTCTTTCCTTTTCAATTTTGATGAAATTTGGCCAACGATCCTGTACTATAGTACAGAGTCTTTGGCCCGGTTTCTGAGGTGTATTGTAGAGGGAAATTTTTTTATTTTGCTTACATTTGATACTTCAAGGTCAATGTCAGTTGCAGATTTCACTCCATTCAATTGTATATCAATCCTCAATAGTCCATTATTATTCTCCAGTATATAATGGGGTCTCTTGACTGCAGTCTTTTTGCTAACAGAACTAGCGATCTCTTCTATCAATGGTTTCTTCTTTGCTTCATTATCATTTTCTTGCTTTAGTTTCAATTCTGGTAAAAATACTTGTTTATTTTCACTGGACGTTGATACATGTAGCTGTGAGAGTTTCTCGAAAAGTGAGTCACCAATCTCACTTTCCTTTGGTAGCAAATGGCTCATGCTCTCGTCCAAAGATGACTGAAAGTCTTCCAAAGGTCCAACTGGCTCATTAGATTTAGTAACAGCCTCACGATTTGTATGAACACTCAGAGTGTCTTCAGTGAAATCTAACGAAAGGTTCTTAAGCATTTCAAACATCAGCAAGTCCTTTGAGCATTCTTCAGTTACACGTGGATTGAAAGCTAATTCGTAGAGGAGCTCAGAATTTTGGGTTCTTTTTCTTTTGTCGTTGAGATGATGACGTAGAGTTCCACCTTTAACAGGTATAGGGTCGTTATCAGTTGGAGGATAGGGTACTCTGTTCCAACTGCACACATTAATATACAGTGTGCACTCTTTACCCTACAGTGCAGCATAAATATAGCAGTAACCATGTTCAATAATTCCTATTATTAACATAATGTAATCATAGCTCTAAAGGTGGGTTTATGATTATTATGTAACGGTAAGCCTGATATTACATTGATACTGGAATAGAATTTGGCTCTATTATAGAGTAAAGCATGCGTCAAAAGGTCGAATCACCCATACTTTTGATTCAAAATTTATAAATTATTGTAAACCTATTTTAATTAACGGGACATTATTGTATACAGTTTTTACTCATTAGCTGCCCACTTTAGACTACACATAACACAATGGCATCAATAAGTGTTGACTGACACTCGAAACTCCAGACACTACATGCCCATTATTAATTAGATTAATTATAATTATTAATTAATCATTTCAAGCCTCACTTTGTGGCGTGTTTTAGGACATTTTAGACAAAAAGCAAAAACAGGAGAAGTTAAATACTCTTTGCCTTCCTCCATTTGCTTCTTCACAAACTTTTTGTACTCTTGTGGATCTTTGGCAGCCATTGCGTCCAGCATTCCCCAGATTTGCTCTGCTGCTTTCAGAATCCCAGGATCATTATTGGAGGCCATTTTCCCGCCAAACCTATATCTGTTTCCATGGATACGATGATTTGCCGCGCTCGCGGCAAAAAAGATTGGGTGTGGTCCAAAAATCAAAATGGCGTTCGACAGACAACGTCGTGTAAATGCTGGAAGGAATATCTCCAAACTCTTAGAGCAAGAAGAGATGAAAGACGAGTTTTACAGCACGGCTTACGGTGGATTTGAAGAAGCTTCAGAAGATGAAGAATATCAGGTGAGCCGTTAATATTTTATTTTAAGTGTTTTTGGGCGTGGCCTTGTTGATATTCACTATTGCTCCCTAGAGAGGCACAGAATGACTTCTTAGCTGACTCATATCCTTTATGATTAAGTAACGTGACTGACGTCGAACAGTAAAAAAAATAATTTTTAAGGGAATTGCACTGCTGTGTTTGTTAGTCAAATCATGCTGATGTACCTATTTAGATGTATTATATAATTTGTTGTAATATTATTATCATTCATGTTTGACATGTGATTGGTGCATGAGAGTTCAATTGTGCTAGCTTTTATACTATAGTAACAGAAGCTAGGTTCTTCATTTTTGATGCATTACTGATGATACCTTTAAAATAAAATAATTTGAAACCGTAAAAACTAAAGCATTACCTGCATTATGTGCATATGCATAATGTAGTATAAACATTACTCTGAAGGCATTATAGTTTTGACTTTTTGACTTGTGATTGTTTGGTAGTCACTAAAATAGAATTCTTTGTAATAGTCAGAAGATGAAGTGGAAGATGTTGTTGATAGTGATTTCGATTTATCAGAGAATGAGGAGGAGAAAGAGGAGGATGAGGAAGCTCTCCTTAAAGCAAAGCCAAAGCGAAGGAAGTGGGTTAAGTATGATCACAAGGCACCTGCTAAAAGGCTAAGAGCTAAAGGTTTGGGTTTATTTGGGGTGTAACTGTTTAAAAGTTTTTGATTTCTCTCTCTCTCTCTTCTCCCCTTTCCTCTTTCTCTCTTCTATTTCTTGTCTTTTCTTTGTATTTTTTACTATCACTGTAGCATCTCCAGCAGTTCCAAGAAAGAAGAAAAAGGAGGTTCCACAAGTAGACCAACCCCACGAGCCGAGAAACCTTCGCAAGTCAACAATAGACTTGGGCCAGTTGACGCTAGAGAGGGAAAGATTGAGGACAGAAGAATTAAAAATGAAGCGTAAATATAGTCGTAAATCCTCCAAAAAGGTGCCTATACTTACACAAGAGCAGCTGTTGGAAGAAGCAAAGAAGACAGAAGTGGAGAACCTTGCTTCCCTCGAGGCTTACGCTCGCATGGAAGCACAAAAGAAGACGTACAAAATCAAAGATCACACTATCAGTGGTCCGGCAATTCGCTATCACTCTGTCACTATGCCTGCCTTTGAGAGAGACGGAGGTTTAACAACCGAGAAATATTCGCGCAACTTTCTTGTATTTACGGACACAAGTACAATACCTACCTCGATATTTCCAACTGAGAAACCAACAAAACCCAAGTCTTTGTACTGCAAGGTAACAGGCTTACCGGCTAAGTATATAGACCCTTTGACAAAGTTTCCTTATTCGACTGCTCAAGCTTTTAAGGTTATACGAGACAGATTTGTGAAGGAGAAGGAGGAAAAGTGCGACGAGAGACTCCAGCAGTTGAGTGGCTGGCTGGAAGAGAAGAAGAGATTAAAGATAAAGCAGACACGTTGAGACTTTTATGTGGTGTATTTGAGTGGTTATTTTGATGAAATCATCTCTCTCTCTCTCTCTCTCTCTCATCTATAGCCTCTCTTACTATATCTCTAGTAATTTTTTTAATTTAATCCATGTCATTGTCGTTATGTGCATGCAAGAATGACGTTAGTAGTTAAACCCAATGCTGCAAATCTGCCAATTTCTTTAGCCATGTTGTTTGTGTTGCAATATTGTGTGATAAATTAATTCCTGATCATATTTATTGTGTGATCTATAGCCCACAAGTTCCTATTAGTGGCCCGTGAATACTATCTCTTCTTCTCGCGACATCTTTAAAGTGTAATCATGGCGTCTCTCATGACCAGCCTCGCCCTTGTGTTGGTCATAAGACCCGCTAGACCTCCCAGTTTTGCTGCGTCTTTTTTTAGCTGACCTTCCAAGAAAGCCCAGGCCACTATCTTCCTTCTCTTTCAGGTAAAAGGAGCTCTATTGAGCTTCATTGATTGCGCTTATTAACTCCCACGCTCCATTATTCTTTTTTTTCTCTTAAATTTGCAGAAGAAAAAGAATGAAGACTGTTTGTTTTTTGGTTCTTTGTGCTCTCTTTGCCTACGCTCAGTCTCAAAGTACGTTTTATGCAATGCAATACAGCTAGTTTATGGCTTTTCTTAGGTAGTGGAGATGTAAGACTGGTCAATGGAACTAACACGGGAGGTCCTGTGGGCCGACTTGAGATTTATCTCAACGGCGCTTGGACCACCGTCTGCGCTGATGACGGATTTTGCACTAACGTGGCAACTGTTGTATGCAGGCAGTTGGGATTCTCAACTATAGGTATGTATTCAAAAATTTATAAGTTTGGTTATCACTAAAGGCTACAATAATTATTTCAAGTTGCAAAATGTATGACTGACATGTACATGTATATAGGTGCTCAAGCTTATGGTTTGGCCCTGTACGGTCAAGGTTCTGGCACTGTTGGTGCACAGAATTTCAACTGCAATGGCTCTGAGACCAGTGTCAGCCAGTGTACCTACACTACTCCTTCCACCTGCCCTCACTCAATGGACGCAGCTGTCAGCTGTCGTTTCTCAACTCTTTGCAGTAACCGAGGGCATTCTGGCTGCTGCTCATCAGGCTGTTATGTTAGCTCCGGTGCTTGTTGGTGTGATGCTAGTTGTCATACTTATAATGACTGTTGTCCAGGGATCGAATACACCTGTCCAGGTAATTCCTGCTATTATTATGAGTTGCATAAATACATCCAACATTGATGATTTCTTTCCTTCATAGCTGGTGGAGTTCCCCCTCCTTCTCTTCCACCTGCAAGCACATCATGCAACACAGTTGGTGACATTGATTTTATTGGAGGTGCTGCATCTGATGGAAGATTAAAGGTCTGTGATACAGACTACAGATGGAAGACAGTTTGTAGCAGTGGCTTTGATAACAACGAAGCTACTGTCATCTGTCGCTCACTGGGACTCAGCACATCAAGTATGTTCTACTATTATTTACAGCATGTATGCACCTAATGGTATAAATATAATGAACACATAATATTCCAATATAGCATTGGCAATTTTTTTAGATGAAAGGATGAGATTAATATTTGAAATTTTTCTTGTTCTTCTACAGACTTCACTATATACCCTGTTTCTCAGTACGGTCAAGGTACTGAGGACATTTATGCAAAAAACCTCTCCTGTACAACTGGTAACAGCGAGGCCTACCTCACTGATTGTGCTGGTTCTGATGTCTGCTGTGGTCATCACAATGATGTTGGTCTTGCCTGTCAGCCTGCTTGTACTAATGGCCAAGCTCGTTTTGTGGGTGGATCAACCTCAATGGAGGGACGTCTAGAGATATGCTATAATGGAAGATGGGGAACTGTCTGTGATGATTTTTGGGGTATTAATGATGCTCGAGTTGCATGCAAAATGGCTGGTCTTCCATGGAGAGGTAAGGAAATGTAATATTGAGTTATTACTTTATTATTATTATTATTACTACTACTATTCTAATAGGTGCACAAGCTTATTCAGGACCACAAGTATCAAATCTGTTTGGTTCTGGTTTTGGTCCAATTTGGCTTGACAATGTCCAATGTTCTGGTACTGAAAGTGATCTGTTCTCTTGCCCTGCTAATGCTGTTGGAAGTCATAACTGTGTACATTATGAAGATGCTGGTGCAAAGTGCGGTAAGAAGTGATACAATAAAAATTATGTACCTTATAACTTTACCTTAATTCCCTCTCTCTCATTAATTTTACCTTCCCTCTCTCATTCTTTCTCATTCTCTCTTCATATTTGTATACTCATGACATATTTTATCTTTCTCTCTCCCTCTCTATGCTTATCCTTAAATTCTCTGATTTGGCACAACAGCTCCAGGTAAGACACTTATACATCAAATAATGACTTTAAACTCCACATTATTGAATAGGACCATGTGAGCTAGCAGGCTACACTAGTACTTGCTGTGATCCTACTACTAGTAACTGTCAGGGAATCAACTCAGAGGAAGTTTGCCATTGCTCTCCTGATTGTGAGGAACATGGTGACTGTTGTATTGACTACACACTTGCCTGCCGGTACATAATATTTTAAAATAATTATTTCTATTGTTATTAGCATACAGTATATGCTGTAGCTTAAAAAGTAGAAGAAATAATATTTTGTAGGACATCTTAATGTCACTAAAGCTATAAATTATAAATGGGATAAATTTATTAATGTACTTATAGCTTGCAATAATACTTCAATATTTTTTTATCCTTGCAGTTGTAACAATAATGAACTTCGTCTTCGTGGTGGGACTGTCCCTAATGAGGGACGTGTTGAGCTCTGCTACAATGGAGAATGGGGCACAGTCTGTGATGACTTTTGGAATGCACCTGATGCCAGAGTTGTCTGTAGACAGTTGGGATACACATACAACCTAGCTGGTAATACACTCATGCATTGCATTTTAGCATATTTTTATCTTAATATTTTTAATAGCTTCTCAGGCTTTCTTATATGCTTACTTTGGTGCTGGTACTGGAAGTATTTGGCTTGACAACGTCTTCTGTTCCGGTACTGAGACACACTTAGTCAACTGTTCATCAAATGCTATTGGTTCACACAACTGCGGTCATTATGAGGATGCTGGTGTTCGCTGTGCTGTTGCGGTAGCAGCTACTTGTCAGCATGGTGCAGCAAGACTTGTTAGGGGTCCAAGTGAGAGAGAAGGACAACTTGAAGTGTGTTACAATGGACAGTGGGGTACTGTCTGTGATGACTTCTTTGGTCAAGTTGATGCTAGGGTTGTTTGCAAGACAATCTTCCCTAATGAACCATCTAATGGTACATGCATCTTAATAAACTTACTTCATCTAGTACATACAAATCTGTATTTGAGTTTTTTGCACACTAAATGTACTAGAAATACAATTTGTTTGTCTTTTATAACTCAATTTATGACAGAATTCTTAATAATGTAATGTTTTATATCATTTTTTTCCCTCCAATAGGTGCCCTCTTCATACAGTACTCTTATCAATACTTTGGATATTCTACTCTTAACAACATTGTGATGGACAATGTCCAGTGCTCTGGAAATGAGCCAAACATCACTAGCTGCCCTCATATCACCAACCACAACTGCTACAGGTGGGAGGACGTTGGTATTGCTTGCTATGAGCCTGGAGCCTACAACAATCAACCAGCACTTGTTCCTGGACCTAATGCTGGCCGTCTTCAAGTCTACTCCACTACAACAGGCTGGGGGACTGTCTGCAGGAATACTTTTGATCTCCAGGATGCTAGAGTTGTGTGCAGGGAACTGGGACAACCAACCGGAAGTATGTAATCGAATCCTGTTCATTACTGTTAATGAAGCTGTGTGTTAGTGTGAAAGAAGAAAAGTATTGTAATTATTGTTACTTTTTAATTTCTTAGGTCCAAGGGTTTACGTGAATCTTCAATTTGGTCGTGGATATGGCTCAACCTCAACTATAATCAAAAACATTGCTTGTACCGGAAACGAAACAAACTTTAACAACTGCTCCTTGTCCAAAACCGGCTACTGCTCTCATTATTCTGATGTTGGTGTTGGCTGTGAGCAGGCTTGCGGTGAGAACCAGATCCGACTCGTCGGCGGGGCCAACTACACTGAAGGACGACTTGAGGTGTGTCGTGATGGACAGTGGGGAACCGTCTGTGATAATCCAAACTCTCGCACTTTTGCTACTGAAGAAGCTGTTGTCATCTGCAAACAATTGGGACTCCCATACACTGGTAATGGAGAAACATTGATATTCATTATTATAACTTTCACCATATAATGTAATCTTTGCCATTTGTCCCATAAACTTCTACATTACACAAACCAGCAATACACAATTACGTTATCTCAATAATAAAATTTATATTATTGCTTTTCTTTATTTCTACAGCTGCTCAAGTCCAGTCATTTGGTAGAGGAGCTGATCCTATACATTACTCTAACCTCGACTGTATTGGAAACGAAGCCAATCTCGCCTCATGTGCTAAAAACATGAACCCATCTTGCAGTTCCCATACTTACGATGTCGGCGTGACTTGTCAAGACTCATGTACGACACATGAAGTCCGCCTTGTTGATGGCTCTTCACCTTCTGAGGGTCGCCTTGAGATTTGTCTCGGAGGCACTTGGGGTACAGTCTGCGATAGCCAATTCCACAATGTTGATGCTCGTGTTGTTTGTAAGCAGCTGGGTCTGCCTTATGGTGGAGCTGAGGCTACTTATGATGCTTCCTTTGGCCAGGGTGACGATCATGTTGCCATCACTAATCTCTACTGTACTGGATCTGAGAGCAGTCTCGCCCAGTGTAACTATCAAACAGGATCCTCTGTCAGTTGTTCTCATGCCAATGATGCCGGAGTTATTTGCCAGAATCCTTGTACTAATGGTGCTATTCGTGTTGCTGGAGCTTCCCTTCCTAATGCTGGTCGTGTTGAGATATGCTACTATCAACAGTGGGGAACTGTCTGTGACAAGAGCTGGGATACCCCCGATGTCCAGGTTGCCTGCTATCAATTGGGCTTTGAGAGATCACGTAAGAACAGAGTCCTATTATAAATTACTATGATTTACATTAGCAATGTACTATAACTTATAGAACTTGGTTTTTGACACATGTAGTTAGTGTTACATATTTTCTATTTGTCTTTTTTGGATCATATGCGTATCTTTATTTTTTCTCTTTATAGCTGTTCGTGCATTTGGTGGCAGTAAATATGGTCCAGGTAATGGCGATATATTCTTCAGAGATGTTGCTTGTGCTGGTACTGAGGCTGGTCTCGGCTACTGTATATCAAACCCTGATACCAGTGAATGTACTCATAATGACGATGCTGGTATTCAGTGCAATGGAGCTGCCATCCTTCCAACTGCTACCCCAATCGCACCTACAGGACCTCCACCAGGTTTGCTTGTTTTTTGTGTGTATTGTTCAAGTTATAATTCAAAGGAGGCACTGCACACATTTACTATGTTAAATTGCTCATTTAGTTGACCATGGTTTACAATGAAACTTTTGTTCTATTATTACTATTATATTTAAGTAGCTTCCTTTAATTGTGACATCATTAAAATGATTTCTTAACTTATTAATGCTCATTACTATTAATGATATAATTAACATTATTCTTTTCTACCATAATTTTGCAGAGATTGTGTCAAACATCACACAAATCCCTATTAATGATTACTCACACAGAGTTACCTGGAGCCCACCTCTTACAACCAATGGCATCATTACTAACTACACAGTCACCATTCAAGTTGTTGGTGGATCAATGCCACCCAACGTAACTACAATACTTGGAAACAAGGCCACACTAGTAACCTTTACCACACTTAGTAAGCTACTGTATATAATAATGACATAGATTTATAAAAAATAATAATAATTATGATCAATTATTTATTTGTTTTATTTTAGTGCCTGGTGTTCCATACATGATGAATATCACGGCTAGTAATATCTATGGAGCTGGCGATGTTTATTCTTACATGTTCTTTACCAATCAACTTAGTAAGTGTAGGGGAAATGGACAGAAAAGAAGCAGACTCCATGAAATAGTAATTAATATTGAATCTTTCTCTCTCTTTCATTAGCTCCAAACACACCAGTAACTATCACTCAGCCAACACGTGTGGATGAGAACACCATCTCCATCTCATGGATTCCACTCAATACCTACCAGGCACGAGGATATGTCACTGGATACCAGGTTGCTTATGCAGTCTTTCAAGAAGGAGTCAATCCACAATGGACCACAGTTAATACTGATAGCACAACAACCTCATGGACTTCACCAAATACACTGATAGCTTCTCAACGTTATGCCGTGACTGTTGCTGGTATAACTTCTGCTGGTCTTGGTCTAGCCACTAATCCAATGGTCATTGTGCCAAGTAAGAAATAAATGAAATAAATAAATAATGAGATAATAACAACAACAAAAACAACAACAATAATAATGATAATAATATTTGGAGAGAGAGAGAGAGGGACAAGGATAAACCCAATAGTTGATGATTATAAATACAATTAATAAATGAAAGGACTACACTATAATGAGTTATTTTTTATATTTATTTTTCTTCAGCTACAAGCACTGCTCTCTTCCAATTGAAGATTGCTCTCAATGCTGGACAACAGTGCGGCACTTGGACTGTAAGTCAACACTCTACATGCATAATGCTTCATTATTATTATTATTATTATTGTTATTATTTTAATTTCTTTTCTTATAGACTGAATCATCCACTGCCAAACTTACAACCATTGTTAACAAAGTTGTCATAGAGATCAACAAACAGTGCCAGAACTGCTTCTCCTCTGCCCTCATAGCCCAGCAGCGCTTCCAGTGCAATCCTGACACAACCGAGTCCGACCAAGTCACATTCAGGGCCCAACTATTTGCTCCAGGATCTCGTACTGCTACTGATATTGTTGGATTTATAAGCACATGGGTCATGGGTACCACAGCTCCTGCTACCGTTAACATTGATGGAGTTGATTTCGCTGTTGATTCATCCTGCACTGCTGCAGTCTCTGACTTTAATGCTGATTTCTGTACCACTTCACGTCCGACTGTAGCCACTGGGTCTTCATCTGGTCTTGGTACTGGAGCCACTGCTGGTATATCTGCAGCAGTTGTCATTACTCTCCTTGCTGCTGTATGTATTGTAGTCGTTGTCGTTGTTTTCTTTGTCGTCTTTAACAATCGCTCCAAAAAGTTCCCAGAGTGAGTGCAATATTGCTAAAATGTGTTGTTAGTTCTGGAAGAATGTAAAACATTTAAGGTTTCTGCCCCATTGCCCTGCCCTAATGTACATGCACATACAAAGAAACAGGAGGCTTTGTCCAAACTTTTTAAAAAGTTTATGAATTGTGACTTTTAGTTTTTATAGAAAATTTAATTGACTTATAATGTTTTTATGCCAATATTATAGTTTAATTTTTTGTTATTGAGGTCTACCATAATTATTATGATTTTATAAAGAGCACCCTGTATTTAAAAGTTTTTCTCTCCTCTCTAGTCATGATGTTGTAGGCTATTCCAACAGAATGGCATTCCCTGAAGGAGGTGATGATAACATCAGTCAGCACATGGGCAGCACTGTTCATGATGATGACTTCCAGGAGGCCCTCAACATGATCTCTGATGACATTGATGACAAGGCTAAGCTTGTAAGTTTCTGACATAAATATTGCTTCTAGCAAACAGCTTTAAAGTTGATTGTATTATTTTAAGCTTAGTACCTTTTAGTTTATAAATTGTATCAATTGCTTCTGATAGTGGATTTAATGCTGATTGAATTTAAGTGTAATTAGTAGTCCATAAGTTGTATCAATTGCTGTCAGATATTGTCATCATTACTGTTGTTTTTTTGTGTATAGGATGAAGGCCGTGTCTACATGAACACATAAACTATAGTAGCGTAGTAAAACTTTGCTTTGCTGATATATTTATGCTTCCACGCATCACTTAAACACTTTTTAACACATTTTACTGGTATATATATATTTTTTTCTTTTTATTGCTACTTTATATTTATTGTTATGATTGAGTAGTGCCTTATTGCTTTTCCATTTATTAATAATTTTCTTCAATAATGGATCAGATTTTGTGCATGCACATTCTAGAATCAAGGATGTAATTTCAAAATTATGAAACTAAAACACTTCTTCCTAGTCATTTTTGACAAAATTTTGAGCAACTTTTAAAATCATTAAAATTCTAATTTGATTAAAGTCAGCTACATGTACTTTCTACACACAACATAAATACATGTATACGTATATGTATCAGAAAGAATTAAATAATAGAGAATTCTCTCCTTTTCAATTTTAGCAAAATTTGGCCAATGATATTGGTCAAATTTTTTAACTTTATAAAAAAAATTATAAAAATCTAATTTTGATTAAAATCAGTTCAAAATTTCTACACAACATAAGTACATGTATGTGCATTAGGAAAAATGATGAAAATGAAGATATCTCTCCTTGTAAGTTTTGATAAAATTCGGCCTAAGACCATGCACTGTAGTACAGGGACTTTGGCCACAATTTTGAAGAACTTACACTGTCCTATCATTGTTCATTGTCTTTACACTTCAAACAAAATCCTTAATTTTTTGTACTTTTATTATAAGTTTTTTGTTTCTTTCCACTATTTTAAATGACAAAATATAAAAATAGCATTTTACTTAATGGCATAAAAACAATATATATCTATGTAATATAGCAAGAGATAAAATATAAAGCTTTAGCACATGTATGTCTGTCATGCTCTATAAAAAAATTATGCTTTTTCTTCTACAGTTCATAAGTCTCATCATTTATCTATAAAATATATTTATTTTTAATTCTGGTTAAGTTTGTTTGGGCAAACTTACCAAAAGCTTTTCCTTATCATCAAGATTAGCATTAGCAGCTTCTTGCGCCTATTAAGTGCAAAAATATTTTAGGTAGATTAAAATAATGCATGTAAAATTTTATCTAATAAAACAAAGGCATCTAAGACATTATAATTACACTGTGAGTCATTAATGTATATTAATTGATATTATTTAATTATTACTGCTTTATTAGTCTATCTATTTATTTACCTTTGCTATTTCTCTTTGGCTCACATAAGAATGAGATACGTCATCAGAAAGCTCACGATAAGTATCTCCGCCTACTCCAAGCTCACCCTTGTCTGTCAAAGTCTGAAGGTCATGACTAAAAAAGATAAGTGCATTTAATGATTTACTAATACTCCATAATCCCAGCACTATAATAACAGAACCTTATGTACATAGTGATATTGCTTACTCTGTACTAGGAGAGAATTTTCCATGGTTGTACCTTCGAATGAATACCACAACAAGGATAGCAACAATAGCCAGTACAGCAACAACAACTAATACTATAATGATACTCCCTGCTATTGCCCCGGCATTGTTGGCTGATGTTTCAGCAGTAGGACCTATAATTATTAGAAGATAATTGGTCTTGTAGCATTAAATTTATTACATACTAGTCTCTGAAACAGTTGTAGCTGGTCCAATACCAATTTCGGTAAAAGCAGCAACACTAACTCTGTATTTACTAGTATCTCTTAGGTTATTCAGTACAGCAGAGCTGGTACTACCAGATACATTGAAGGACACTGGACTGTCTGCTCTATCAACTGGCTCATAGGTGACTTGATAAAAAGTGATTTCTCCTCTAGCTTGAGATAGTGTGAGTGGAGTCCACGTTACATTAATGCTAGTGTCAGACACTCTGGTCAGTACTACATTAGCAGGGCCAATAGATGGTGCTATATTGATAGAGGAAAATGAAACGGTGAATGTATGGCACATGTATTGTGAATCACATCATTTAGAGGATACATATACATGTCATTATGCTATGAAGTAGAAGTTTGAGCTGATTCTAATAACAAATTCTGGATAAATATCTTTAAATTTTTTTCAATTTTTACAAGCTTTTTTCACACCTCAACTTACAAATCAAAGTGTAAACAAGGTGACAAAAACAACTTTTAATTTTTACTATCAAAAAATTTTGACAAGTAGAAAAACTTGTGTTCTTTAATAACTTTTGATAGGAACATGCCAGAAACACAGTTACTAGTAAACACTAGGACTCAAATTCACTACAATTTCTTCTAAAATTACTCTTATTATAATATCCACGAACCTCCTTGTGCTGTAAAGAAAAGATCACTTGTTTGTGGAGTCCCCCTTCCAACTGTGTTAAACGGAGTTATAGTAGCAATGTATGGAACATATGGAGCTAAAAATGTAAAAAAATAAATAAATTCTCTCATGCTTACGCAATTATCAAATACACTTAATCTTTATTTCTACTTACTGAGAGAGTCAAAAGTAGCACTACGAATTCCTGTTGCGTACACAGTTTTATTGAAGCTAATTCCATTTCCAGTGCTAGTAACTTGTACATCATAGCTGGAAATAAATTGAGCACCTTGCTGTGGTAATATCCATGTGACGGTAGCTGAATTATCATTATTAATGGTAACACTAATATTCTGAACTGGTCCAGGAGCTATGTAATGATTAAAAAATAAGTAAATATAGTGTTTTGAACTTTAAAATTAATAGTAATATTGATCATTAATATAAGTTGATTTAAAAGTGGGTTTATGTATCACGATATTAAGAAGATAATCACTGACAATACAATAGTATCTTACTTGCTGTTGGCCCTGGAGTAGATGATGGTTGTATTGAAGTTGTTTGAACAGGAGTGCTCTGTATAGATGAGCTCCTAGTAAGAACTGATGTTGGCACTGTGGCTGCTGTTGAAGGTTGGAGAGTAGTAGAAGATGAAGTGCCAGTTTGTATGGAGCTAGAAGACTGGGCAGTGCTGGTTTGTACAGGAGTAGAAGATGGTTGCTGTGGAGTACTACTCTGTACAGGAGTAGAAGATTGAGCAGTACTGCTTTGTACAGGAGTAGAAGATGGTTGTGGAGTACTGCTTTGTACAGGAGTGGAAGATTGAGCAGTACTGCTTTGTACAGGAGTAGATGATGGTTGTGGAGTACTGCTTTGTACAGGAGTGGAAGATTGAGCAGTACTGCTTTGTACAGGAGTAGATGATGGCTGTTGAGTGCTTGACTGCAATGGAGTAGAGGATTGAGCAGTGCTACTTTGTACAGGAGTAGTTGATGGCTGTGGAGTGCTGGACTGTGCTGCAGAAGTGGTTGTAACTAACAGAGTTGAAGTAATTCCACTAGTTACTAAACATAAAATGAAAATAATAATCATATCCATATGCATATTGTTACAAGTAAAAACTATGAATTATTTATTGCAGCTATTAGCTGATATAGTACATAACAGAAATCCTGCTTACCAGTAGATGGTGCTATGGTTGTTGGTGATACAGCTGAAGTGGTCATAGTTGCTAGAGAGGAAGTGGAGAATCCAGCTGCTGCACTAGTGGAAGTCGGAATACTGGTAGCTATAAAAAATGTTATCATGAAATTTTTATTTAATAGAAATCATTGCATCCATTGTTGGATTGAGCTGTTAGCTTACTGGCATAGCATCCAATGTTCTGAATGTCTGAACAGCAGTCACCAAAAAGGTAACAGGATATATCACAAAAGCATATGCCATCACTCCCAATACAGCTTGGATAATTACTGAGACTACAGCACCCATTAAAGCCTAATGATACACAGGATCCTAAAAATAAGAAAATAGATCATTTAAATAAATTGTAGTAGTGGTTACTTACCTGCATTCGGAGTAGGTGTTGGTCCAACCACTAATTAAAAGTATGTGATAACATTTTAAATATAATATAAGAGCTTATATACCTGTGCAGCCAATGTCAGCGATATCATCGCAGCAGTCACCAAACTCATAGCAAGTGTAATCACAGTAGCAGTTCTGTGTCTCTCCAAAGCAGTTAGGAGCAACACTAGTGTTACAACATTCAGTAAAACCAGCCAATCCACATGAACCTATGATATATATAAAAGAATTATGCTAATATTAAAAAATACTGTATAAAATCTAGGCTAGCTGTCTAAAAACCACTCCAAAATCGCCCCAATTTAATTATAATTTCTGTTGTGCTTATGCTATGTAGAAAGTTTAAGCTACTTCCAAAAAATTGAGTTATGGCCAACTAAAAAAATAAGTATTTTTCTGAAAAAATACTCAAGGCTATATATAGCCTATGCTTTTTCCAAAAAATGGCTAAAAAATCATCCCAAAATTATATTACATTTCTTGATACATATTGATGTACTTATGCCCTATGGAAAGTTTGAGCTGATTCCGAGCTCAAATTTTTGAGTTATAGCCATTTTTTAAAATGAGCCAAAATCTGAAAAATACCCAAGGCTATAAAAAATGGCTCCAAAATCACCCCATATTTTTATTACATTTTTTGATACATATTGATGTACTTATGCTCTGTGGAAAGTTTGAGCTGATTCCAAGCTCAAATTTTTGAGCTATGGCCATTTTTAAAAATGAGCCAAAATCTGAAAAATACCCAAGGCTATAGCCCATGCTTTTTCCAAAAAATGGCTAAAAAAATCACCCCATATTTTTATTACATTTTTTGATACATATTGATGTACTTATGCTCTGTGGAAAGTTTGAGCTGATTCCAAGCTCAAATTTTTGAGCTATGGCCATTTTTAAAAATGAGCCAAAATCAGCCCATGCTTTTTCCAAAAAATGGCTAAAAAAATCACCCCATATTTTTATTACATTTTTTGATACATATTGATGTACTTATGCTCTGTGGAAAGTTTGAGCTGATTCCAAGCTCAAATTTTTGAGCTATGGTCATTTTTAAAAATGAGCCAAAATCTGAAAAATACCCAAGGCTATAGCCCATGCTTTTTCCAAAAAATGGCTTAAAAAATCACCCAAATTTTTATTACATTTTCTGATACATATTGATGTACTTATGCTCTGTGGAAAGTTTGACCTGATTCCAAGCTCAAATTTTTGAGTTATGGCCATTTTAAAAATAAGCCAAAATCAGAAATTCTTTAGTTTTGGCCACCCAAAAAGGGGTGATTTCTAAAAATTATGCAAATTAAATACCTTACACTAATTAATTACGTTACACACAAATTACACTTATAAAATTTTTTACACTAATTATATGAAAGTTATATATACTTATACTTCAAATTAACATGCATTGATTATGAAGCTAGGCTTACAGTCAACTTAACGGTCAAAAGCACATGAGCTTACCTTTTCATGCAAAAACTTTGAAGTTGACATAAAATTAGCCAAATTTTATTTTGCAATAGTTTGCAGTGCGTTTTGTGGCAAATGTAAATCAGGTTTTAGAGGAATTAGTAAAGTATTTTTCTAATTAGCTATGCTAACCTAGTGGAGCAACAGTAGGGCTAACAGATGGTGATAGCTCCAAGCACATTACTCCAGCATCTTCCGAGTGCAAGCAATTATGCTGTGGATTGAAGGGGCAATCTAATAGACTTTCTTCATTTCCAGAGCACTGGACATCATCAAGATTAATAGGACCAGTCACCGAACCAAAGTATGAGTTAGAATATGCCAATGCATCTATGAAATACAAGATTATCAAACATAAAATACCTAGTACTTTTTAAAGATATCTGTACTTACTCATTGTGCTGTATCCAAGCTGCCCACAGACAACCATAGCATCAAGAGTGCTCCAGTAATCGTCACAGACAGTTCCCCATATTCCATTATAGCAAACTTGAACAAGTCCTTCGTAAGGAGTGGAACCGCTAACAAGTCTAATATCTCCCTTCTCACACTCAGCCTCTCCACATATGACACCGGCATCCTCCGAATGGATGCAGTTATGGTCAGCCAAAAACGTGCAAGAAGTGAGCTGATCTTCAGAGCCTGTACACTGAACATTGTCCATGTTGATACGTCCAGTGCCTTGACCAAAGTAGGCATTACCTCTAGCTTGAGCAGCTAAAAGAAACAAAAAATAATAAATAGAGCGATCATTTACATTGTAGCTATTTAAGTCTTTTTTGTACTGTTAGCTTACATGCAGTTGGATAGCCTAATTGTGCACAGACAACAACAGCATCTTGTATACTCCACAAGTCATCACAGACAGTACCCCATTCACCAAATATGCACACCTCAACTCTTCCTTCAGTAGCATTGGCACCTCCTACTAGCCTAATGTCACTCTCATTACACTCCCCTATGATGATAAAGGGTCACAAAAATGACTAAAATCAAAGCAAATTTTGAATACTTGGGCTAGGTAGGCACATGACACCAGAGTCTTCAAGATGAGTACAGTCGCTGACGTCAGGATCAAAAGGACAATCAGTGAGAGCACTTTCAGATCCAGTGCACTGCAGATTATCCATCACAATTGGACCAGAGCCTTGACCAAAGTATGAGAAACTATAAGCATAGGAACCTACATATTTCAGTTTTGAAAACTTAGTAAGTACATGATAGTTGAATTTTTATACCTTCCCATTCATATCCCAGTTGTCTACAGACTACTCTAGCATCAGTCACTCCCCAGAAGTCATCACATACAGTGCCCCATCTTCCACCAAGGCACACTTCAACTCTTCCTTCAGTGTAATTTGATCCTCCGACAAGACGAACGTCAGTTTCATTACATTCAGCAGCTGCACAACGAACCGCTGCATCTTCATAGTGAATACAGTTGTGGTTGGGATTGTAAGTACAGTTAAGGAGCCCTGTCTCATTTCCTATACACTGCACATCATCTAAATAAATAGGACCACTGCCAACTCCAAAAGCAGCGAATGTTAGAGCTTGTGCACCTGTCAATTAAAGAAATATTACTTGTTATAATAATTTTTTTATTTGTCGTACCAGCATATTCAAAACCTAGTTGTCTACAAACAACTGAAGCATCTTCATATGTCCAGAAATCATCACAGACAGTGCCCCAATAGCCACCAATGCATACTTCAATTCTTCCTTCAGTTGCTACCAGACCACCAACTAGCTTCACTTGGCCTTCTACACACTCATCTGTAAAAACGACATCAAGCCATATGTGATAAATCAAAGGCCCATACTTCCAAATCCACATTGCACACCAGCATCTTGAGCATGAACGCAATTATCAACCGAGGCATAGGAGCAAGCCAGCAAGCTTGATTCAGATCCATTACATTGAACATTATCTAAATGGATATTACCAGTACCTTGACCAAATTGAGCATTAGAATTTGCAAGTGCACCTATCAAAATAGAAATATTGAAATCAATGATTTATGAAATGCAGGCATTGCTGACCATCTGTGGAGAAACCAAGCTGTCTACAAACAACTTGTGCATCAGTGTTATCCCAGAGATCGTGACAAACTGTGCCCCATTGTCCATTCAAGCATATCTCAACACGTCCTTCAGTATTATTCTGACCACCAACAAGTCTTATCTCTCCTTCAGAGCAGTTAGCTAATAAGATGGGGATTTAAATCAAGTTTTGTTACTGATGTTGTACTAACCAGTTTGTGGGGCACAGATAACACTGGCATCTTCAGAATGAATGCAGTTATGTGTTGTAAGGTGAAAGCAATTGGTTAGTTGTGACTCAGTACCAGTACAGAACACATTGTCCATATTAATGGGACCAGTACCCAGACCAAAGTAAGCATTACCTACTGCTATAGCTAGTGATCCATCTACAAATAATAAATAATAACAATTAATGATACATTTAAAGTCTAGTAGACATACTGTATCCAAGCTGATTACAGACTACAACAGCATCATTGGTACTCCAGAAGTCATCACAAACTGTACCCCAGGCTCCATTGAGACACACCTCTACTCTACCCTCAGTCTCAGAAAGACCATTAACTAATCTGACAGCAGTACTATTGCAACTGGCACTCTGACACATGACACCAGCATCTTCAAAGTGAACACAGTTGTGGTTTGCTAGGTATGTACAATTGAACAGGCTCCCTTCAGTTCCTGCACACCCTACATTATCAAGTACTATAGGACCAGTTCCTTGTCCATAAAAAGCACTACCATAAGCCACGGCACCTTTATTAATAAGTACACAAAGTAAAAACATAAATTCATTTCATTTTTCATTACCTGTGAATGGAAGTCCCAATTGCTTACAGGCAACTTGTGCATCACGATAGTCCCAGAAATCATCACAGACAGTACCCCATGCTCCATTAACACACACTTCAACTCTTCCTTCAGTTAGTGAATCACTTCCAACAAGACGTATATCACTATTATTACACTGAAACACACCACCACAAGTAACACCAGCATCTTCTTGATGAATACAGTTGTGAGTAGATAAGTAAGTACAGTTGACAAGGAATCCTTCATTTCCAGTACACTGAACATTGTCCATGTTAATAGGACCAGTACCAGCACCAAAATAAGCATTAGTACGAGCAGTGGCCACTGTGAATGGAAAAATGACATGCATAAAATATCATAATTATTCCCTTACATCCATTAATCCCTAATTGATTACAAACAACAGTGGCATCATATGAATCCCAAATATCATCACAGACAGTACCCCATACTCCATTAATACACACTTCAACTCTTCCTTCATTATCATTAGATCCACCAACAAGACGAATGTCACCATGATTACAGGATGGTTGTATGCCACAAGTAACACCAGCATCTTCAGAATGGATACAATTATGACTTGATAA